ACCCCCACACAAGCTAAGAGATGCTCCTCTTTCAACATCGAACATAAACTCCCACTGACTGTTATTCGTAATCTTCCAGATTTCATACAAATAATACAACTCAAACATTACGCCCTGTTATATAAAGTAAGGATGATTTATAAAACATTAAGGGCAATTTATAAGATTTTTTAAAGGTTTATAAACATGATTATAAACAATTTATAAGATTTTTTAAAGGTTTATAAACATGATTATAACATGATTATAAACAATTTATAAGATTTTTTAAAGGTTTATAAACATGATTGTCAATCAAAGAGAAACGATTTATAACTTAATTGTTAATCAATTACGCTTGCTCAACGCCCTGTAATGTTAATCTCATATGTTTATAAACATTTTTWAAYWRTTTTTTAAGGTTTATAAAACATGATTGTAAATCAAAGAGAAACGAGAAACATGTTATTACCTTAATTGTAACTCAGCGGATCCGATCACAAAGAATCCCGACTCGGCAACGGAGGCGGATTTCGAATCAGCGACAGCGAATTCAGACTTCAATAGCAATTTTCCCAAAAAATCCGAAATTCAGATACAAATCGAGAGAGAGAGAGAAATCGAGATCTCTATGTGTGAGAGAGAGATCGCAAAGACATAAAGAGAGATCGAAATCGAGATCGCAGAGAGAGTGAGAACGCGAGAGAGATAGAGAGAGAAAGATCGAGATCGATATCGCATAGATCTATCTATGAGAGAGAGAGATCGAGATCGCACAGAGAGAGATCTGAGACAGTTTTAAAAGAAAGTATTTTTGGAATATGAAAAAAAAAAATGACATTTTTGCAAAGTGGTATGGGACATGTGGCATATTTCAAAATTTCTCAAAAAAAAAAAAAAATAACGACAAACTGCATACGCAAAGCAAGCGCAAATATCGACAATAACTTTCCTCCGTTGATTATCCAATCGAGAAACATGTCTTGTTCGTTTATTACAAAAACTTTTCCAAAAGGACAAATTGTAATAATTATTTTTTCAACATAAACTCTCATTTTTTTTAATTTATTCAAATGAAACCTTTGCCCTTTGGAATATTACAAGGCAAGAGTTTAGAAAACTTACCTGTACTGAGGAGCAAGTTCACCGTCCTTAACGATGTAATTCTGAGCAGGGAAGTCTTCTCCCTTAAAGTACCTCTCCAACATGTCTTTCGTCCCCGCCGCATATCGTAGCTGATTAATTTATTCAACAAACAAAACAAAATGTTTCATTTATTAGTACCTCTAAATTGCGAGTGAATAAACCAAATAAGCCTGGTTTAAATAAAATTGTTCTTAAAAATCGAAACCATGTTTTCTATATCCGAGATAAACAAAACCTGAAAACGTACTAAACCAAAACTCAGTTTGACTTTTGTTACTCTTCCTAAATCAAATTGTCATCCAGATTGTACATCTCTACTTCAAATGACAAATGTGCGTTAAATGACTATCTACCATTAAACCAACCACAGTTTTGTTTAATCGTAGATTGTCATTGTATGTTATTTGCTAATTGTTATGGAATAACGTTATTTACCTGAGCATCGATGGTGGTGCCGGAGATGTGAGGGGTCATGGCTTGGTTAGGCATGTAACGCCATGGATGGTCCTTAGGAGCCGGCTGTGGGTCCCATACGTCTCCGCTGTACCCTCCAATGTGTCCACTCTCCACCGCCTCCACCACGGCTTGCCTCTCCATGATGGCTCCTCTCGCGTTGTTCACTATTAAAACGCCTTTCTTCATTTTTCCTATCAGCTCTTTGTTGAACATTCCTCTGTTATACACAAGAACAAGAATCCACTTTTTCAAAACGTCAGGCAAAAGTATTGTTTGTGTTTCATCTTCCTTGTTGGTGATATTATACCTTGTTTTCTCCGTGAGAGGAGTGTTGACGACTACAACATCGCATTTAGGCAGCATTTCATTCAGATTCTCAACGTACTTAGCTCCTATCTCTTTCTCCAGCCCCGGTTCCATCTGAAGCCTGTCATGGTACAACAGGTTGCACCCGAACGGTTTCAACCTCTGTAGCAAAAGCTTCCCGATTCTTCCAGCTCCTACAGTTCCAATCGTCTTCCCTTCCAGATCATAAGCTCTATACGCAATGCCTGCCACGTTCCACTCGCCATTGACGACTTGGTTGTACCCTGGTACGAAGTTGCGCATGAGGATCAGGATTCTCATGAGCTCATCTTCCGCTACAGAGACCACGTTGCTTCCAGTGACTTCAGCTACCGTCAGGCCAGCAGCTGCAGCAGCCTGCAGGTCGATGTGATCCGAGCCAATACCAGCCGTGAGGAGAAGCTGCAGGTTCTTGGCTTTCTTGATTCTTTCAGCAGTCACATAAGCCGGGTGGAACGGGGTCGATATTAAGACGTGAAGATCCGGGATATGTTTCTCAAGTTCTGCCATTCATAAGAGTGGCATCAGAAAAACCATAGTTTAGCATTATAGTTCAAATAATTGCGTACGATACTAACCGCAGTCCGGGCCTTCTTTGTCGTCGGTAACAATGTACTGATGTCCTTGTGATTCTAACCAGTCGCGGATTCCTAACGCATTCTCGACACAGCCAAGGAAGTTAGGATTCTTGGAAGCGTATTCGTTGGCTTTGTAGAAAACCCCAACAATCTTTTTGGTATCACCAGAAGATGCCTGTTTCATAAGCCAGTTCAGGAAGCTATTTAACATATATACTCGTGTCCAAAAAAAGATGAATTTAAGACTCAAGCATCTAAAGAATCTGACAAATTATTATAAAAAAAAAGTGTCATTAAACATCGTGCCGTTAGACAATTCAAGAAGGAGACACCTTGTAGTCTTTGATTTCGAGAATGCACAATTGTACTTTCCCAATTTTGGTCACACAGGTTTTAGTCATGCACAGTTTGATCTGATCAGTACACAGCAAAAATGGGTTTCTTCAAAACCAAACTTGTATTGAATTTCCTCATTTCTTTCACATTAACTGAGGATCAAATCATATGAATCGTGTCTAGGAACAAGATAGATTTCTAATTACTTTTACTATAATGATTTACTATAAAAAAAAAATTGTCGATTGATGCATGTAAATGTAATTATGTATTAGCACCAAATTGTGAAATTTCATTCATCTATTTGAGTGCAGATCTAAGAACCTCTATAAAAAAACACACGATCGATCAAAATAAAATCAAACGGGATCAACCACAAATTTCGATTGAACACGATTTCTCCAGAAATTCACTAGATACCCAAAATAGAACCGTAACAGAGGCAATCTCGAAGAGTGCTTACATGAAAGTGACGAGCGAAGTAACCCGCAGAAGAAGAAGAGGAAGCAGCACAGGCTCTGATCATTGCTCCGGTGGCTCGTCGCATCGCCATATTTTCTCAGTAGATCGGCTCTTTCAGAGTTAAGAAGGAGAGATTAATATTGAGATTTTGTGAAATTGCTAATTGGAGAAGAGAGCGATCTATATAGAAAAGTAACGTACATGCACCGGAACCAAATCATCATTTTCTCTGGACCAGCTACAGTCCGCCACGTGGAAAATTAGAGATATCCGACGGCTCAAAGAGACATTATTGGCATTAATGTAATTATTGTTTGTTAACGTTATATGTTTTGGATAAGTCGTGTGATATAGCTCACATTATTATCAAATCCAAAAAAATATATAAAGTTTTTATTTGTCTTTTGAAAGCCCAAAACAGGCCCATTTACAAAACAATAAGAAATCAAAACGGCACCGTCGTGGCTCTCGTCGTCGAGCTTCGAAACTCTTTTTTACTCGGTTGGTAGATGTTTAGGGGAAAAATATGCGTCGTCGTCAGAAGCAGACGCCATGAGAGCTTACAGGAATCTCTGTAGAACTTTGGAGAGTTAGATGAACTCCAATCCTGCTTCTGATGATGATAAGGATTTGGAATAACTATACCAGAAATTACAGATTTTTTCTCTCCGATTACCGTACTTTCTCGACAATCAAACCACCCCAAATCCCAGGGATCGCAGAGACTAAACTCTTGATCTCAGAACGAAGATTCGACACAGATTTAGCTACCAACAAGACTCGGATTTACGTCTCTCTCTTTCGGCTCTATTTAATCCACGGGAGGCTTTACGGTGCAGCAAGGACGCTCTCTGCGATGTGTAGTTTCGGGGTTGTTCCGGATTCGCGTCTCTGGAATAGTCTGATTCACCATTTCAATGTGAATGGTTTGGTTCCTCCTCAACAGGTATCATTGATTTACGGAAAGATGATAACTTGTGGAGTTTCGAACGATGTTTTTGCTCTCAATGTGTTGATTCATTCTTTGTGCAAAGTGGGTCAATTGAGATTTGTAGTTAGATTAATTAGGAGTAGAGTAGTAAGCGTCGATACTGTTACTTACAACACTGTGATTTGGGGTTTATGTGAGCATGGTTTGGTTGATGAGGCTTATGGGTTTTTATCTGAAATGGTGAAGAAAGGTATAATGCTCGATATGGTTAGCTACAATACTCTGATTGATGGGTTTTATAAAGTTGGAAACTTTGATAGAGCTAAGGCTTTAGTTGACGAAATATCGGAACTAAACCTTATCACTCATACTATACTCATTAGCTCTTACTACAATCTCCATGCTATCGAAGAAGCCTACGAGGATATGGTTATGAGCGGGTTTTATCCGGATGTTGTTACTTTTAGTTCGATTATTAACAGATTGTGCAAAGACGGAAAATTGCTGGTAGCGGGATTGCTACTGAGGGAAATGGAGGAGATGGGTGTATATCCAAACCATGTAACTTATACTACTCTTGTTGATTCGTTGTTTAAAGCAGAAAATTACCGCGGTGCTTTGGCTTTTTACAGTCAAATGGTTGTGCGTGGGATTCCTGTAGATTTAGTTGTATATACTGTTTTGATGGATGGTCTGTTTAAGGCCGGGGAACATACTGAGGCTGAGAGAACATTTAGGATGCTTTTGGAAGATAGCCAAGTTCCAAATGCGGTTACCTATACGGCTTTGGTAGATGGCATGTGCAAAGCAGGGGATTTAAGCAGTGCAGAGTCTGTCATAACGCAGATGTTAGAGAAAAGTGTATATCCAAATGTTGTCACGTACTCTAGTATGATAAATGGCTATGTAAAGAAAGGAATGCTCGAAAAAGCTGTTAGTGTTATGAGGAAAATGGAGGACCAAAACATTGTGCCGAATAGTTTTACTTACGGTACAGTAATTGATGGCTTGTTTAAGGCAGGAAAACAAGAAGTAGCTATTGAAATGAGCAAGGAGATGAAGCTCATTGGGCTGGAGGAAAACAACTACATACTCGATGCTCTGGTGAATCATTTGAAGAGAAGTGGTAAGACTAAGGAAGTTAAGGGATTAGTCGAAGACATGGTATCTAAAGGAGTGACCCTGGATCATATTAACTACACATCTTTAATTGATCTGTTCTTCAAAGGAGGATACGAAGAAGCTGCTCTTGCTTGGGCTGAAGAAATGGAGAAGAATGGGATGCCGTGGGATGTTATTTCTTACAATGTCTTGATCAATGGGCTGTTAAAGTTTGGCAAAGTCGGAGCAGAGTGGGCCTACAAAGGAATGAAACAGAAGGGTATAGAACCTGATGTCGCTACATTTAACATAGTTATGAATTCACACCGAAAGCTAGGGAACTTTGAAGGTATCCTTAAGGTTTGGGATGAGATGAAGAGTCATGGGATAAAACCAAGTCTGATGAGTTGCAACATTGTGGTTGAAACGCTATGTGAAAAGGGTAAGATGGAGGGTGCAATTGACATATTGAACCAAATGATGTTTATGGAGATCCATCCTAACTTAACGACTTACCGAATTTTTCTTGACACATGTTCAAAGCATAAAAGAGCTGATGTGATATTCAAAGCGCACGAGAAACTCCTGAGTTATGGAATTAAACTCAGTACGCAAGTTTACAACACTCTTATTGCAACTCTGTGCAAACTAGGTATGACAAAAAAGGCAGCTATGGTGATGGATGATATGAAAGAGAGAGGCTTTGTTCCTGATACTGTGACGTTCAATGCCCTTATGCGTGGGTACTTTGTGGGCAGTCATGTCGGAAAAGCTCTTTCAACATATTCCGCTATGTTGGAAGCAGGAATATCCCCAAATGTTGCAACCTACAATACTATAATAAGAGGTCTCTCTGATGCCGGGCTAATAAAAGAAGTGGAAAAATGGCTGAGTGAGATGAAGAGTAGAGGTATACGCCCTGATGATTTTACGTACAATGCTTTAATTTCTGGTCAAGCTAAGATTGGGAATAAGAAAGAAAGTATGACGATTTACTGTGAGATGATCGCTGATGGGTTTGTTCCGAAAACCGGCACTTATAATGTGCTTATCAGTGTTTTTGCTAAAGTTGGGAAGATGCTTCAGGCGAGAGAGCTAATGAAGGAGATGGGTAAGAGAGGAGTGAGTCCCAATACTTCAACTTATTGTACTATGATATCTGGTTTGTGCAAACTCTGCACTCTTCCAGAAGTTGAGTGGAACAGAAAAGCGATGTACTTGGCAGAGGCAAAAGGATTGTTAAAAGAGATGGTTGAAGAAAAGGGATTTATTCCGTGTAATCAAACTATTTACTGGATAAGTGCTGCTTTTTCTAAACCAGGGATGAAGGTTGATGCTGAAAATTTCTTAAAGGAATGTTACAAGAAAAAGAATGCTCGTTCCTCAAATTCGTGAACTGGGTAATTCTGTTTCGTCCTTCTAATCCTAGTCTCGCTCAAGATATAGTTGCAACTTGACTTGTTGCAACTTGAGTTATATGCTCCATTTCTCAGATATATATTGCAGTATACAGATTTGCCTCCAAACAGGACATCTAAGCAATTGGGTTAATGCTGGTGAGATAGTACTTCTTCAAATTATGTTTTTGGGGTATCTTTGTTCTTTGATAAATGAAATTGCACAAGGCAAAACTATTTCCTGAGAATATCCATTGAATTTCATTGTAGTTAAACGGAAATGGCGACTGCAGTGTAGACTATTGGTCTAGCTGGTTTCTGGATAAAGCGAGTAACTAGGCTGTTTTAAAGAGGCATTGAAGAATAAATCTCTGCTCTTGATAGATTTGCCTTTGCGGCAGTCTTCTCACATCGCTTCCCTGTCCAGTTAAAGAAGATTGGAAGAATTCATGTTTGGTCTGGTAATGGAAGCCATACCTGAGCTTGGAGCTCGCAATTTCCTCAGGAGAAGGTTGGAAGCTTCTGGAATTTTTTACTCAGAAGAAAGAAACTGAGGATACAGAGTCCGGTGAACACAAGACTGTTCTCAATCCTGCTCCTTGCTTGGAGATCCACACTCTATACACACTTGTTTCTTTTTGATCAGAAAGTCATCAATAAACCATAGCCAAGGAATTGAAAGATTGTCACAGTGATTGATATCTTAATTGAAGAATTTATCTTCTTTTGTATAACAAAATGTCAGGAGCAGAGAATCTTTCTTGAGTTCCAAAATTTTTTCAAATAAATACAGGAATCAGAAAGGATTGGATTCAAATAAGAATAAAACTCTTACAATTTTAACAATCAATAAGTGAGCTGCTGCTTAAATTCTGTAACTGCCTTGAGCTCCAGCTAGCTGTTGTAGGAGAAGATGGGAGAATAATAGTCGGAATCCGCTTGCTTTCTTCCACAAAAGGAAAATCCGTCGTGTAATGGAGACCACGGCTTTCGTGTCTGGCTAACGCACTGCTCACGATAAGCTTAGCGCAACAGAACAAGTTCCTCATCTCACAAGCTTCAAGAGCTACCACTGTTTGTTCCCATCCATGTTCGAACAAATACGTTTCCCATTTCGCTTCTAGCTCAGCGATTCTCCTCTCGGCGGTATTGAGCCGATTGGTCGATCTGACGATACCAACATACTTCCACATCACTGCCTGAAGCTCTCTTCTCACTTCTTTAGTCAAAGCTAGAATCTTTGAGATAACTTCGTCTCCTAACGTTCGAGCTGTCGCAACAACAGGCCTTGTCCATTTTTCTGAATCGCTCAGATCAAGTCTTGTGCGTTTCATGAGCTCAGTCGAAGGCTGAACAGCTCGTCTCGCGAAAACCAGAGCTTCTAAAAGTGAGTTACTAGCAAGCCGGTTTGCCCCGTGGAGACCAGTACACGCTACTTCACCTGCTACAAACAATCCAAGGACATTGGTTTCGCCTTGTAAACCAGCACGAACGCCTCCACACATGTAATGAGCCGCAGGCACAACCGGGATAGGCTGACGGGTGATATCCAGACCGTGTTTAAGGCATTCGGAAGCTATGTTAGGGAAATGGGCAACAATCTTTTCTCTCGGCTTATGGCTTATGTCAAGTAACACATACTTTTCGTTCCGTTTCTTGAGCTGGTCATCAATGCTTCTTGCAACCACATCTCTTGGAGCAAGCTCAGCTCGTTCATCGTAAACGGGCATGAACCGCTCCATTCCTAGATTGTAGAGGATGCCGCCATCACCTCTCACGGCCTCGGTGATGAGGAACGCGTTTTCTCTAGCAGTTTGTGGTTTGATGGGAAGACCTTCGTCAGCTAAGGCAGTAGGATGAAACTGCACAAATCTTACCAAAGACAAATACAAACACAAACATAAGTTTCATTGTCAACAAGTTTCCTCAAACTCTTTTTTCAATGTTTACTTACTCCATATTTGAGATCACAGCTTGAGCTCGATGAGCCATAGCCATCCCATCTCCAGTAGCCACCTATAC